TGCGTTGTGACTCTGGGGAGAGTTGTATAAAATACAATTTTCAATGCTTTCCTAATATTTTATTTTTCCCTTACTTTGATGGTAGCATACTAGAGCATAAACAAAAAGTAGTTTAAGTATGACTTAGCAGGTACATCAAATGCCATAAATGAGTAAAGTGAGAGTCGTCTACTCTGATTCTTTATTTATTGACTTTTTCAAAGGCTGGTCCTGTACATGGGAAATCATAGAAAGGTTTTGGCTGAGAAGGCAAAACAGTCTTCTAATAAGGGCAAATGCTTTCCTAAGCATAGAATTGTACAATGAAATGGCTATATTCCATTACCATAGGAGACTTGTGTCATTCCTAAAATACAAAAGTTAAAATTGAAGCTTCTTTCTTCCAAGATAAAGAAAGACTGGAAAGAGCAGGTGTCAATTCATTCTGGATTTCCTGCTTCTTCCCCACTTCCAGGGGCACCCAGTGGTTCCACAAAATTTGATGACTTTAGGGATTCAGTTTAAAGTAACATATTCTTATATGTGCATATGTCCCTTGCTTGATAATTTGGTAAAAGAAAGGGTAAGTTGTCACCTACCAAATCAATTAATGCTGGTAGAAAATGGTGCTAATACATAAAAGCTTTCTTAATTTGGTGGCTATTTAGATGGAACTACTGAGTTTAGCCTTGCAAAGGCTAGAGAGCAATAAATAGGCATGGTAATCTGGTGAAGAATGTAGATTCTTTGAGGCACTGGAAGTGTAGGGGACAGAAAGTGACAAAAACAAGGAAATAAAAATTTCGTCAAAGGATGTGAGCTGTGGTATAGAGTGATCTGTATGTCACCAGGGAATGTGTTCCAGGGGAAAAACACTTACAATGACAAGCAAAAACTAAAATTCCTTTTAAAATTGTGTATATTACAGTGACAATACAACTTTTCCTATCTCCTTAGATGTTCAATAAAATATAAAAATCTTTGTAGAACTAAGCATGAGATAATGGAACACATGGACAGATTATACAGGATAATAATTTATCAAATGATGTGATCAATCAGTAGTAAGGGCTCAATTCGTATGAAGGAAAGGAAGCTAGAAAATATAGGAAGGTCTTTCACTTGTGTAGGTATACAAGAATGATTTACAGTCTTATTTAAATCTCAGAGTGCAGGGAGATTCCTGTTAGTATTTGAACAAGAGAAAACAGTTGTGATTTTGTAAGGACAAATACTTTTACTCTATTTGTGGCTCTATGTATTCCAAAATGTCAATATCCCCAAATGAGTTGGATTATAGTTATAATGCTCAATTGGCCACATCTAGTTGAATGCTCTAACTGGTATATAAATTTAGCATGACTCTGACTGTATAGTCCACTTTTCCAACACAAGACCATATCTTTGGTTCTTGTCTCAGTGAATGTTCCTGCATCCTGCTTTTCAGTCAGAAACCACATCCTTAGTTCTTTCTCTTGTTCATACCCCAGAGCTAAATATCATCCTCTTCTAAATGTTCTCATTTTCTCAGTTAACATGAACCAACTTTCTAAAGAATGTCTAACCACTTACCCACTCATTTTCTTCAACTGTCTTGCAGACTGGATCAATCATTATCTAAAATGCACGTCTGGTCACTTGATAGCTAAACATTAATAGCTAGGTCCCCATCAATCACAAGATAAAATTATCTGCAGCTTGGCTAAAAGATCCATTGCAACTATATTCCTTTAAAACAAATTTTAATTTAGTATTTGAGATTTTCATACAGTTTAATGGTATTTAGATCTTTTCTCCTAGTAACATGTCCCCTTACTGTCCCCACCCAATTTAATGTACTCTGATATATAGATGATATAAATATAGATGTAGTATATGATTTATGTCCCCAAATGTCTTTCATTGTGAGTCCAACCACTGGACTCTGATTAACACACTAAGAGTCTCATCCTTAAAAGGGACTGTCTTTCTCTGCCTCAGTTGCCAGACATTCCTTAGGTTGGGTTGGGGTTTCTTACCCACATCCCCATGTATATGCTGAGATTTTGTCTGTTTTGAAGTTGCATGGGACTTGTGCATGCTGTTACCACTGCTGTGAGGTCATATTGTGATCATCTACCACCTCTGGTTCTTACAATCTTTCTGCCCCCTCTTCCAAAATGATCCTTGACCCTTATTAGGCAGAAGTTTGATATAGGCATCCTACTCAGGTATAAGCACTCTGTAGCCTCTTGTTCTCTGCACATTGGCCAGTTGTGGGTTTCTATGTTAATCACCATCTACTACATAAGGAAACTTCTCTGCTGAGAGTTGAGAGACACATTGAGCTATGGGTATAACACTAAGTCATTAGGAGCCAGCTTATATGAAAACTATTTAGTAGAAAACTAGTATTGGGCTCTTCCCTATGTCCTGTGGCCTGTCTAGCCTCAGGTTTCTAAGCCTGATATCAATGCCAGATACAGGCTCCATCCTATGAAGTGAATCTTAAGTGCAATTAGATAGTAGTTGATTACTCCCATAATATTCATGCCACTGTTATGCCAATGGGCCTATCTTGTTATTGTAGCTCACAGGATTCAGAGATAGGTAAGGCAGATGATTAACTTTCTCTTTGGGTAGTATGCATAGCACCATCCAGCACTCTGCAAGCTAGCCAGTAGAGATGAAGCTCTGAAGTCAGCACAAGCTTGATTTCTCTTTGTTTTACAGTTCATGTATATAGTGTCTTCAGCAGTTGGGTCTCACTGTCATGTTCTGATGGATAACCAAAAGCAGGGGCAAATGTCAATATTATTTAAGGGTCTGTGGGACCCCCCAGTCAACAGTTTCAAGGGAAGGAGTCCATTTCTGGCATTGGGTTTTATTTGTTAGCCTATGGTTAGTAGAGGCAATGTATCCCTGTTATAAGGTAATTCCTTTTAATCTCTTTTTATTATGTATATTTACATATTTTAAGAAGTTTCTTTATGGCTGTTTCTCTGCTGCTGTTTCCCTGCTTCCTGAGAGGCAGCCCAGTGGTCTGTTTGCTCTCAAATAAACTGCTGCCCCTCCTCCCATGGAATTGTCTGGTTAGTGGTCTTTGCCATGTCCTCTTCCATACATATTGTGCCAAAACCCAGGAGATTAATGACTGTGTTACTTATGATCTGGTTCCCTCGTAATGAACCATGCTGCTGACCATGCACTCCTGCAACCATCTCACCTATGCTGGCTCCCACCACTCACCACAACAGGCCCAAGATTACGAATCCGTCTGCTTTCCTGAGTCCAGTTCACTCTCTGACAGCTCACCCTCTGGCAGAGTTTTGATGATGCTGCATAGCACTCCTCTGAGCCAAATAACTGCCATCCTCATGACTTCAGCTGTGCCTACTTGCTAAAGATCATCACAATTGGTATTGTTGACAGTTGTATTCCGTCATTAAAGGAGGGAGGTCATTTGGGAGGGAAATCACACTGTGATTCTAGTCACTCCAATAACTATCAAAGTGCCTGAAAAGCATATCTTTTCTTTTGGCCATGGCAGCTAAATGAAAAATGAGGAGAAACCCCGTAGATAGATACATTTGGAAACCCTCATCAAGAAACTCTGAGTTGAAAGTTCAGCCTGTTCTGACTCCTCCTGGTTCCCTACCTAGAATTTGGGCCTAACTACTCTTGCCTTACTTCTTCCCCTCCCCAGCCCACTGATATCCATCCTCCTCATAATAAGGATTATTCCATGCCTTTGAAATTTTTTTCAGGTCAGGACAGAGTCAATGAGATGCCTCAATGGTCAGTGAACCAGATGCTCTTAACTTAATTCCCTCAGGTCTCCTACCACCACCTGCCCATTTAACCCCAAAATCCAGACCAATGTTCCAGCCTTTTGAGACCACCCCACTCTTTGCAGACGTCCCTGTACAGCAGGAGGTAGCTAGAGAGAAAACACCATCATCCCATATCATCAACAAAAGTCTGGAATGTTAGGTTCCTGTCAGTCTCCTAAAACTGCGGGTTTGAATTTAGCCCCAGGCAAGTCCCTCTGCTTACTGGGGGACCAACCAATCCTGAGCTGAACTGCCTAGCCTACATCATGGAAATTTACCCAACCACCAAACTGCCTATAAAAGACATCTGACTCCCCCTGCTCACTGCTGTTCTTGCTGCTGTATCCCTGCTCCCTGAGAGGCAGTCCAGAGGTCTGTTTGCTCTCAAATAAACTGCTGCCCCCTCCCCCAACAAAAGGGAAGTTTCTTTAATGGTAGATTTCCATGGGGCTTTTTCTAAAGGCCCTTAGTGTTACTTATCTCTCCCCATACTTCTTCTTCTGCCCTATATTCTTATTTCCACTACAAGTTTTACCCCCTGTTGCTGCTCATCCCATATGTTGTGCTGCAAGGTCACTAATACTATCTTCAATTCTGGGTTTTTTCTTTTTCTTGTCTTTCCCCACAAGACTTTTACTCCAAGCAAATCATTCATGCTCTGTCTCTTTATCGTGTATCAAACGATCAATTGAAGATGAAAATAAACTGTATTAAAAGGATTTGGGTTTTCTCCTCAGGTAATGTTTACATTGTTTAATAGGTTAATGCAAAAATAAATGATACCCATGATTTTGGATGCTACTACATGATAGGTGGTAGGGAGGTGACAAAGATCTTTGATGATGTCTTAAATTATACTTCACAGATAGCCTTACTACTTCAAGCAGGTCTTGAAAAATTGCATGCTCACTCTCTGAAGAATAATCCTTCCTAAAAAGACAGTATATGTGCTGCATAGTGCATAGGGAAAAAGCCATGTGAAGAAGGTGGCAGATGGTAATGGATCTACAAACCAAGGGAGGAACAAAATCGTCAGCCATCACCAGGACCTTGGAGAGAGGCTTTCTTCCTAAGACACTAGGGTGGTGTATGTACTACTTTAAGAAAGTAATATGCACAGGTAAGGATTTTAGTTCCATCACTTTCAAGCTCTGTGAATCTGAGTTTAGATTATTGGAGCATTTTCTTTCACAATGGAAGGGTACTTACCTTTCTGTGATTGTTTCTCTGAGGCCACTTGCCACACCTTTGACCACAGTGCTTGCTTTGGGTGTCAGCACCACCTGAGATATAAAAAATGAGCCCTTCTTTCTTCTTTCAGTGATGGATGCCTGAAGAAACTGGATCAATTTTTCTGGGTCTGTGGTATTAGCCCAAGGTGCTGGCATCATCTGCCCAGGCCAGAGAAAGGGCACTTCCAGTGCCACTGGACTGTGGTAGAAGACCAGCACTTGGTAGTCCTTCTCCCACAGGTACTTTAAACTCACTTCCTGGGCAAAAATTGCTGGACACATTTTGTTTCCATAGATGTCTTTCAGCATTTGGACCAGTTTTTCATGGTGATATTTCTGCATCCCATAAAAATGGTTAAAGTCCAAGAACACTACCTCTTTATGGTGATCTGTGAGGAATGCATTGATCTCTTCAAGACCCTCATTGACTTTGGCACTGAATAAGCCATGAGCAAAGTACAGTTCATTGTCTGGGTCTCTGGGCTTGGTAGAAATTCGAAGGTCAAAGTAGCGGATTCCAGCTCCTAATTGACCAGTAAAGTTCATTGTTTGAGTGGCTAGCCATTTCCGCATCAGCTTCTTGGCTACAGTTCCAAACACAGATACAAAATTCTGGACAGTTTCTGGCTGCTCAGGACCTACTGGAGAGGCTTCATCAATGTAGAAGCTGAAGGAATCATGTGACCCTGGGAGAGTAACAAGGCATAATGTGGTTAGTTTCTAATCTTTCATCCTTCCCACTTCTTTCCTTTGTGAAATATACATACTTTCCCCTCTCAATAAGCCACAATGTAATATTTAGTCATGATTCATATCTTAAGCACATTCTTTAATGACCTGGTATGGGATAGAGAACAATTCAATTGATCAAATTAATCATAAAATAATAATAAAGTTGCCTTCATGCTCATATTTCAAAATTTACATGATCGTTCACTGTGACATAAGACTTACCACAGTCACTAGGATTGGCTTTTTATATGGACAATTAGTACTCGTGAGCACTAATACTTTGTCTTCAATCTACCATCTTTGATGGTTTGGTTAATCTTGTCAGAGTGACAGGATTTAGAATCACCTAAGAGGGTATTTCCAGAGAAGGTTGCATGATTTTGGAAGATCCACCAAGAACATGAGCAGCAATATTGAATGGTCTAGGACCATGTAACTTCTATGTTCTTGGTTGAACAAAAAGGAGGGAAAAGAGAGTAGGGCGTCAGGATTCATCTCTCTGTATCCTAACTACAGATGCTATGAGACCGGCTGCCTTGTGCTCCTACTGCCCCAGCTAGGGGTGCTCACCATGACTTCACTGCCACTAGCCCTCAAATTGTGAGTCAAAATAGAACCCCCCTTCTTAAAGTTACTGTTATCAGATATTTTGTCACAGCAATGAGAAAACCGATATACCATTTCCCTTCATTTTAGGTTGATTTTTAAGCTTATAGGGATTGTCTCAATGAATAAAGAAGGTCTTTGCACAGGAAGATAATCAGTGTATGAATTCTCAACTCACACACTTTGGAAAGCAAAAGAGGGCAGCAGACATAGAAAAAACACAAGAGTACAATGTTGGTATCCTTAACTTCATTCCTGACATTGCGCCTGGGCAATGATGAGCCTAGATGAGACCAAAAACGTATACACGAAGTGAACAAACTGAGATTTCTTGCAAGCAGACACAGCAGTATTTGAAAATTGACTAATAGACCCTGTTCTTCACATTTTCTCTTAACTGGAATATTTTTCTTTGAAATTAATTTCCAAATTCAGAAAAATTGCTTCCTTGGGATAACAAGAAATCCTTTCAATTATTTATTTTGACAGTTCTAAGTATCAGACCTCCATAAACGTCATGATTATCACATGTGATTTGCTTCTAAATGTACAGTACCACTAAAATACAACTAGGAACCAATAAAGAAAAATATTCCAAGGCTGAGTTTTGTTTTTCCAATCCTTTTAATTTGTGGACATGATTACTGAATCACTAAAATTCAACTACTGTATCCTGGATGCTTTCCACACTAGAAATGGCAGACATACTTCCAATTTTGACACCTTTTCTTTCTCTTTCAAGACCTAGTCCCTGTGCCATCATTCCCCATCTGTCACTTAGCTTTCTCCTGAGTTCATTTTGTTACTTTGTTTCTGGCATAAGTTGCATGAAGCACCGTTTTTTTTTCTAGCTCTTTCAATTCTCCAACCTAAAACTCACATACATTTAGGTACGCATGCACGCAAGCACGCATGAAAGAAACCTCTCAAAGTTTGTCTGCTAAGCAATCTGAAGCATTTTTTTCTATGGATGCAATATTTATCCATGCCTATATTCATATCTGTGCCTATCTGTGCTTCTGCCCCCATGTACGCACATAATCACATGTATACCTCTGCAGTGCTGTGTCACCCCACAGATAGGAGGCACAGAGATCAACTTCAGATGCTAAGGAAAGTTGGGTGATAAAATGTTTTGTAAAAATACTTTAATACCCAGAAAATTGTGACCTTTAAGATTTAGAACAGACAATATCTCAGAATTTTTAGACTTTTTAAGCAATAAAAAATAATCCAAATATACACAAATGTCATGCTGAATTTAATCCCAAACTGTGCAATCTATTTAACTTTAGTTTATGGTATGGGAAGAAAATGTCAGCCCTTTCTGAATAAACAAAAAACAGAGGTTTGCATAGGGCATTGGCATATTTTAATAGGCATTTACATGGCTGAATATTGATTTATTAGTAGCTGTTCATCTGCTTATTAATTTAAATGAAAAGCTAAATAAATTGTCCTATGGACCAATACTCATGAAGAAGTATGCCCAAAGTAGGGCATAAAAGAATTTAAAATTAAATGATGCAAGATTAAAACAGTTAATAAATATACAAATCTTAAGAGTCAAAAAGATTGTTCATGAAGAAAATGGATAAAAGAGTCAGTTACTTCTCTAACCTTGTATAAGACATTACTTAGAAGCAGGCAGAATGGGAAGAAAATAGAACTAGATTCTTTTTTTCTAGAAATGAGTTCTTTGCTTTCTTTTACTATCTTATTTTTGTTTTTATTTTTTATTCATATATGTTAACTATACATAATAATGAGTTTCATTTTTCATTAGGACATTTTCAGTGTCTATACCACTAAAGACAATGTCTCCTCTTCTCCCAGCAACCATTATCTGCTTTTATATCTTCAAGGTGGCCTAGGGCCTCGTGATCCCATCCCCATCATGACTCTGCTTTTAATATGGTTTTATTCTTAACCTTTCTATCATGCAATACATAGTAATTATTTTTAATTTAAAAAGGTATGAAAATCATGAATTTTGAAAAATCTTGTGAAAAGACAAAATAGTTTCTAAATCAGGCTGTTTGGTAACTTTAAAGGAAGGTAGGTTACTGAGCTCAACATAAGGGAAGGGTGACAATAAATTAAAGATTAGACATTAAGAAACACATGGTACCTCTACCAATATTTGTTTTATGCCAATAAAACCGTACTTAGGGCTGAAGAGCTGTTTCAGCGGTTAAGAGCACTGACTGCTCTTGCAGCAGACCCAGGTTCAAATTCTAGCACCCACTTGCACTTGGTGGCTAACAACCATATGAAACTTCAGTTCTGGGGAATCAGATGCCCTCTTCTGACCTCCACAGGCATTGCACAACATGGATGCAGTTACATGCAGGCAACACACTCATATACATAAAATAAAAACAATAAATAAAATATTTTTAAAAAATAAAACTACTTTATGACCTTACAAAAACAGTCAGGAAATGTTTGTCCCACCCTTATCCCTTTAAAACTGGAAAGCTCTGTTCCTTTGGGAATTTTCTACATTCTCTGGTCTAATACTTTGTTTCCGCACTGACATGGTGTTCCTGGACTCTTGACTTCTTATCAGTACCTCATTGATGGCCTCAAACTAACTGAGACCTTTAATCCAATAGGCCTCAAGGGGTGGAATCATGTCAATAAACACCAAATAGAGGAGGAAGCAGGTCCTTCCCTGGTGGGATGTTGGTTGCAGCCTTGTGAGGGAGACTAATGCAGAGGATGGTTCCAGTCCAGGCAAACTTCCATTCATCATCATTGAAACCCTCAGAAGTTGGTCACATCCCTCCTTAGTTCATGTGTTAATATTTTCCTTTCTCTTTTTTACTTGACTCAGTCCAAACCAGAAGTGCTTGACTTTACTAAACTAGTGTAAGAATCAACTTTTGCTTCTGTTTATTTTCTGTTTTGTTGACCTCTGATTTTTCAATTATTTTAAGCTACTTGATTTGTTTGAGGAAAAGATACACCATTAAGTGCTCGTATCTGAAAAGAATGAAGCATAAAAACAAGTTACCTAAATTGCAACCTTAAAATTTCAAAAAAAGAGGAGAGTAAATTAAACTCCAAACAAATCAAAATAGGAAAAAAAATAAGTGAAAAATCAGAGGCCAACAGAATAGAAAATAAACAGAAACAAAAAGACTGATTCGGGGTTTAAGATTCATGGCTTAACACTAAAGGATTATAAGATCACTAGCCATTGATATGAATTTTATTTTCCAGCTAACTAAATTAAAATACTCTTCATACCTACTTTACAGGATTCTTAGAAAGATCATGTGAAAAAGTAACATCAAATGTTCATAAAAGTAACATCAAATGACTATAAAATAAATGTTATAAAAATATCAGATACTATTAAAATAATATAAAAACAACTAATTTACTTATACTTTGTTTGTTGCCTTTTTCTCTATTTGTATATCTTGTTCTTCATCTAAAACTCTCCAGATATACAGATTTGATTTTAAGCCAGACTGAAAGTTTGAAGGAAAACAACAAACAAAACATACACACACACACACACACACACACACACACACACAAACAAACAATGCCTTCTAAATCTCAAGGAGGATTATGGCAGCCAGATGCATTAATACAAAAATATTTGATTCAAGTCAGTGAATCAAAATGTTTCACATGAAAAAGATACAGAAGTGAAATGCTACTAATAATCATTTTTACATATTAGGCTTGGCCATTTTACACAGGGTCATCATTGGCCTTTGGTCTCTTAATTATTTCCACTCAAAAGTCTGACAAGATAAGTTGGTACAGTCTGCCCCTTTCTTCTCCAAGAAGAGGTTCCCTTGTTTACCTCAATCTACTATAACAAGTCTATCAGTATTTCAGCCCATGAAAAACCTTAGGAAATACCACTGTGGTTTCATGTGACTGTAAAAGACAACCTGCCAATCACCTCCGTGACTTCATCCCTGCTTCCTGCACAGAGCCTCGAAGGCTTATACCAGATGTCTCTAAATAAACAAATGAGTAAATCCTGCTCAGCTTTTCTGAAGCATGTGGTACAGAGGTATACCACGTTATATCTTCATGTTTTTCTCCCCTCTCCTGTGATTGTCTCCACCTCCCTTGCTGCCCTCTTATTTGTCCAACTCCTAAGTAAAGGTATATTCAAACTAAGACCTCAACTTGCTCCCTAAATCTCGGTAATTTTATTCAGATTTTAGTATCATTTGTCTTTCCAAGCATGCATCAAAACTTGGCACTATCCACGTCGCCCTGTATTTCAGAACTCCTGTCTGCTAGGCAAATGAATTGCATTGCACTGTGCGTATCTTGAATTTTAATGTTCCAAGCAAATTTCAATAGCCTCCCT